TACCTTAATTCCTGACCACTGTCAATAATTTTCTTCCTTGTATATCTATAGAAATATTGCTTACTTTGTATTTGTCCGAAACTTTTTTATTGTTTGTTAACGACAACCAATTCCTAATTTTCAAAGCATATCCGAAGTAAAATAATTTAGAGTGCTTTTACATTATACGTATAATAGCAAATTTTCTCAGAAATGTTTGCAATAATTCCTGAGCAATACTGATGCCATTCTTTTGAATTTTACTACTTATTTCTATAGTAAAATCATTAAAATTGCCTTCCGTTGGTAAAAAAAAAAACAAAAACACAAATAACAAAAAGCAACATTTTTTCGAATTTTGAAGGTATCGCTATAAAATAATTTACGTTGGATTTCTATAGGAAATCTATTCATTCGAATTTTGAAGCTATTTCTATAGTAATAGTCATTTATAGTACATTCCTATAGTGAAATTAATTCTTTCAAATTTTCAAGGTATTTCCTATAGTAAAAAGCATTTACAGTTCATTTCTATAGTAAATTCCATTCTTTCGAATTTTCAAGATATTTCTATAGTAAGATCATTTACTATGCATTTCTATAGTAAAATCTATTCTTTCGAATTTTCAACGTATATCTATAGTAAAAAGCATTTACACTGCATTTATATAGTAAAATCCATTATTTCGAATTCCCCTGCTAATTCTATAATAAATATCATTTACAATGCATATAAATTTTAGGAAATTCTTTTCATAAATATTTGTATTGCTTCTTGACGCTTTTCAATACTTCGAATGATTTAGAATTTCTACTTTACAGGATATAGCTATGAAAAAAATTACATATAGCTGTTTCATGTGCCACAAAATGTATGGTTGCTAGCAAGAAAAACAAAACAAGAAGCAAGATATGAATGAGAGACATCAAAATTAAACCGCTACAAAAGATTAAACCTCTGGGAAGAGTTTTAACAGATGACGGCAAATGTGACCTCGAAATCCAAAGGCGCATTGGAATAACGAAAGATGCCTTTCAAAAGCTAGGCAAAAGATTAAGAAACAGGCAAATTCGTCAGAAACAAAGTCAAGACTGCTGAACTTTAATTTCTCTCTTTCTATATAACAGTTAATGCTGAACAATTTTCTCACAGATGAAGAGCTGGGGGAAAAAGACGTGCTTGATATGAATGTTGAGAATGTAATGACCCTAACATGTAAGCAATGAGGTTGACTTTTAAGGAAATATGAATAAAAAGGACAATTATGCATAAAATCAGAAAGAGGCTGTCGAAAATTTCTGAGACACATAATAAAAAAATAAACCTTGAGAATTTGACATACAAATCAAAATAAAAAAATAAAAATGAACAAGAGTGACAGGTGAAAGCGACGAATAACCTCCCTGGTGAGGTTGTATAATGGATACCAGAACAGAGAGAAAAGAAATTTGAAAGACTAGCTTTGTTATGAGCTAAAAAAGATAGCTAATTCGAGTCTCACTGCGTTTAACAATATAATAACCTATTGTTAGATTAAAAAGATACTAAGTAAATAACCACATAAACAATTTTTTTTTGTTTTTTTTAAGCATTACGCCCCGTGCAAGGCGTAAAGCCACTAGGATGCAGGGGGTTGCGGAAGATTTGTAGCGAGAGCGGATAGGAGTGATAGAAGAAAGGATGAGGAGAAGGATAGTGGGTAGATCAAGGTAACTGGATGTGTCGATTGACATTACATTTGAATAATTGAAGATTATAGCTCTCAGGGAAACAGTAATAGGGAAGGGTGTTCCACAGGCGAGAGGTACGAGGTATGAAGCTATTGAAGTAGAAGAGACGGCTATATTTAAAAGTTTCTATAGTGTAAGGGTGGGAGCGCGATGCCAGCCTCGTAGGGTGCTTGAATTCATGGAGTCTGGGAACCAGTGAAAGCAGCTCATCGGAGCAATTACAATGAAAGTATTTGTAGAAAAGACAGAGAGAGGCGACGGCGCGTCTGTGAGAGAGAGACTATAGACGAGACGTCAGAGCAGGGCCAATTAGATTACATATCCGTCTCTGGATGAATCCACATAAGACAAAAAGAAAATATTACTGAAAAGCTATATAGTATCGGTTTTCCTGTATGGGAATAAATGCTGGACAATTTTGTCAAAGATCTAGAGAAGACTGAGGCATCAAAATGTTCTACAGAAGGATGCTGAGAATACTATGAACGGAACATATGATAAACAAGGAAGATTTAAAGAAATAGTGACAAAACAAAAGCGATTTGTACTTTTCTCTGTGGTGCATAGATTTCATGAATTTTAGCGCAGTACTAGATTGACGACAGGGCCTCACCATTTTACAGATAAAATAGCTGGATGCAACCGTAAGTTCTATGCTAACAGTTTCTTTTCTCGCTCTCATCGCTCGTGGAACTGTCTTCCGGGTTCTTGTTTCCAAGTCAATGTTGATCTTCAAAAGTTTAGATGCAATGTGAATCCTTATCTGTGGCCTTCTTAGTGTTTATTCTTTTATTGTCCTCTCTCCTTAATAGTATTTTTCTCATATTCTCCATCGCCTCGTGCGTCCTAGTAGCTTTATTGCACTGCTTGGGGTGAAATTATTAAGAAAAAAAAAAAAACAAACAAAAAACAAAAAAAACGGGACCTTGTAGCCAGAATCAGAAAGAGGCATTTGAAATTACTTGCTTACTTAATGAAGAAATAAGGCCGGAGCGTACAACGGCCGAAACGTTGTAATAAATATGGCGACAAAGATGAGGACAATAGTCCGAATAGTGGAAATAATTAAGAAATAAGGGTTGAACAATGTGACACTCACAGAACAAAGTTAAGGCAAGAGGTGTGGAAAAAACAGCGAGTAACCTGTAATTTTTTTTAAATATATGTCCGAAAAGGGTGGGATAGCGAAAATAAAAAAATAAAAAAGAAGAGCTTTTGAAGAGATGTAATTGGGGGAATTCACGATCTTAAATCGATGGAGCATGTAGAAGACCCGATGCAATGAAGTGAAATTGCTGAAATACATTGTGGCGTAAATAATTGCATCATTTCAGCTGAAAATATTGTTTTCACCATATGACATAAATATTAATTTTTTAATCCAGCAATTAGCGAATTACATTTGCAGTTACATTTTCAAAGGTCATATCAGTGCATATACGTCCGAAAAACTGGAGTGAAACGCCGTGCATACGAATTTTCAATGCAGTCTGTGCTCAGTCAGTTATGTGACATGCGGAGTACACGCTTAGGCGATCATGTATCTTTCGATTCATGACTGACGAGGCAGATTTATTTTTTCCAGCAGTAGGTTACCATTCCTTTCTGCGATAGACCAGTTGCCATCCAAGGCTATAGGACCCGGTCTGAACAGCTATTTACCGATAGCTGAGGGGAGAAGAAGAGGATCCATACCTTTCCCAAGGGTATTAGCATGTAAGTGAATGTAATGGATTCGACTGGAATTCGAACTCGGCTCTCCGACTGTGCTACTATACAATAAAAGATATTCTTTAAGTTTTTCTTTTGTTCTGATTCTACGTGCCGTATCCATTCAGAATGTTGGTGATTATGACGTCATGGAATTTCTCGTCGTTTGTAGCTGTTAATAAATTTTGCCTTTTTGTTATCTCTCCTAAAACATGTTCCACAATTCATTTGATCAGCCTAGCGAGGTCGTTTATACATTATTAATCTCTGTTCTTCTTACCTTCAATATGTCTTGCGAGTATCAAATTTTCCCAGTCCCCTTTTCTCATTCTGCACCCCAAAATTTCAACATGTTATGTATTTTTGTTTCAATTTTTACTAAACCTACATTTTTGCTCACATGATCGGTGCATTGTATTCTCAGCATCCTTCAATAGAAGCACATTTCTGTTGATTCAAGTTTCTTCATCTGTGAGGAGATTGTCCATTATTCACTGCCGTATAAAAGGATTGATATTACATGACAGATCAGTATTATTTTCTTTGTTCCTAGCGAATTTTTTTTCTGTTTCTTAATACACTGCTTAGTTTTTGGAAGGCATATTTCGCTATCCCAACGCACCTTCCGATTTCTGTGTCGCACTTCCGTCCTCTGTTAAAAGCCTTTTCAGATATTTAAATTTTTGTAGTGTGATTTTGGTATTTCCAATTTATAAGTTGCATGTTGGGCTGTCCCTTTTGCTAACAACTATGAATTCCGTCTTGTAATTGATGTTCAATCCTTTCTTCTCGCTTTTCTTCACTACATTCGGTAGGATTTCTTGTAGATTCCTTTCTCTGTCTGCTACACACACACACATATATATATATATATATAAGTGAGCATTGAAGTCAACACTTAGAGGCCACAGACTGTTTCGTATTAAACACAATCGTCAAGCCAAATGCGTTGTGTTTTTTCTTGACTATATATACAAGTCAGTGATGTATTGTGGGTAGTGTATTGCATTACGGGTAGTCTGTTCTAACGATTATTTTGACAAGAATGCTTTGTTAATTATTTACTTTATTTATTTATTTATTTGGATTAATTTACTTTACTTGTTTTTGCATATCTACTTTTATTTTATTTATTTTTATTTATTCTTTTCAGTTTTCGATTTTTAAGTAACGTAGGAGAAATTGTTTTCTTGTCTGCATTGTTTTCATGTCTCCATTTTGAGATGAGATCTGATGCAACAGACTACCCACAATGCATCATTGACCCATATATATAAATAGTCGAGAAAAAATACAGCCTGACGACTGCATTTAGCATGAAACAGTCTATCGCCTCTAAGTGTTGACTTCACTATTCACTTTTATATTTACATACGCTCGATCTCTGATATTGAGCACTTTATCCCATAAATATAGCATACCTCAAAACTACATTTATATATATATATATATATATATATATACGCTGTTAAATTCGATTGCTCACATGAAAATTGTATAGACATCATAACGTTAAATACATGCGTTAAAATATGAGACGTCGAAATAAACAGACACGTTAAATAAAGTTACCGTGACGAATGTATTTGCAAGATGCAAATCGTTGTTCTGTTCATTTTAGACGTATCTCTGATAATCAATTGGACGTTCTTTCACATCTTATCAAGTTTATCTTTTTTGCCTTGAATTAAGCGTCAGAAGCTTGAGATTTTTTTTTAACGGATTTTTTTGCTTTCTATTTCATTTCGCAGTCTATATTTTTACGGTTTTCTTTTCATGGAAGACTTAAAAAAAAATTATTTAATCATCTTTATTTCTTTTAGCTATTTCTCTATTCTTTCCTTTTCAGCTTCTCTCATCTTATTTTCAAAAATAAATTCTTTCTCCCAGATAAGATGAATGATTAAAGACAAGAAAGTTACATTTCTGTCTGTTGGTCTGTCTGTCGATCGGTCTGTCTGTCGGCCTGTCTGTTCATTGCGCTGTGAATATTGTTTGCCCGCCAGTCTGTTACTTAGCATAACGGTTTTGACCTAGTACAGTACCCAATTGACGCTACCCTTGGGTTCCTGCCCGCCTCTGTAGAAACATTGCTCAACGTTACCCGTCTCTTCACCCCATCTACCGTCCCTTCTATCACTTGGCCGAGTCTTCTACTTTCTCATGTTCTTTCTTTCTTTATTTAATGTGCCACACCCATTACCCTCTCTCTATCTACCGACGCAGTAGTTCTTCACTGTTATGTTCTGACTTACCTTTTTCTCTCCTCACCGACTTCCCACAGAACCGCGTTTAAAATTCAACTTTTCTTTCTTCAAACTTTCTTTTGAGTCTGTTCATATTATCTATCTAACATTCATCTCTGACTATCTATCTATCTATCTATTCATCTATCTATCTGTTTGCAGATCTATATCTATCTATATCTATCTATCTATCTATCTATCTATCTATCTCAGTTTGCAGATTTTATCTATCTATTTATCTATCTATCTATCTATCTATCTATCTATCTTAGTTTGCAGATCTATCTATCTATCTATCTATCTATCTATCTATCTATCTATCTATCTATCTATCTATTCATTCTTCAGATAGCTAGCTATCTATCTATCTATCTATATATATATATATATATATATATATATATAAATATATATATATATATATATATATATTCTCAGGGGAACACGTTGCAGACGCACACACACATATATATATATATATATTTATATATTGTTTTCTATATCATTCATGTAGAAATTATCTGAGGCCAGAACATGTCTATCTATCTAGTCTACCTGTGTGGTGCAAGACAGTAATTATATTCTAATGAACCTAACAATGGCATCCTAGCCTTGTTAGAAGTTGAAAGTGTTTTTACTAACGTTTCTGTTAAAACAACCATAGAAATAGTTACAAAAATCTTATCCAATCGCAGCTCCTAATATTTTATCAATTATTTCACGTAAGCTACTAAAGTCATGCATCACACAAGTACGATTTTATGATCACAATGATAACATTTGCACAGACGACACACGACACAGCAATTGGTTCGCCTCTGGATCTGTCTTTAATTTCTACGAATCGATATTTTATTAACGAAAATAATATATATATATATATATATATATATATATATATATATATATATATATAGATATGAGGTTTATAGTTTCATTTTATATATATATATATATATATATATATATATATATATATATATATATATATATATATATATATATTGTTGAAAATCTAGTTATCTTAAAACACTTAAATAATGGGAGCTTATTAATCAAGAGAAATTAATTGAGGGTTACATATAGGCATGAAAATAAATATCTGTTTAAATACATTGATCCAGATTAATTTTGATTTTTAATGTAAATTACAGTTCATTCTTAATCTAAGTTAATATTTACTTTGAATATAAATCAATGTTTGTTTTTTTTAAATAAGAAAATAAATAAAAGCACGTAATTTCCCTTTAATTGAAAAAATTTAAAACAATAAAAAATGAATATCCTCAAGTCAAAATAAAAAAAAAAAAATGTTAATTTTAACTTTAATTTAATTTCCCCCCACCATATATATATATATATATATATATATATATATATATATATATATCACTTATTTTAATTGCAAAAATACAATTTTTAATATTAAACAACTGTAATCCCAGCATAATATATAGCTATGTCGGCATTGGGATAACCAGATATATTAAAATTCAAATTAAGTAACTGTCAGTCCATACTCAGCACCTGAGGATTGCTTTGTGCATGAAACTCAGAATCATCCAACTGGTGAAGATATATATATCTTTCAATATAATATATATATATATATATATATATATATATATATATATATATATATATATATATAATTCTTGTCATATTTATCTATCTAAGGCAATTATCTTTCTATTTATCACCTATCATTCTGTCTATTCATCGAGTACTGTGATTCAAACTGATTCCTTGTTCATATTATATATGTTAAATGTGGTGACAAATAGTTTAAAGCCGGTCTAAATAAATGTTCAGTTGGACAGATGAGCAAGAAAGAACTGTCTCCTGATCCAGCCTTCGTTAATTTTTTCGAACTGCGTTGTCAGATTGATATCCTGTGGGTGAATACTTTCTTTTTATGTACATTCATGTCCTTTCAGGAAGACGATCATGCCCCTCCACCTCCCTCATCCCTTGCAGATCTCAACAAGTTGTCTGCTTCCTCCCCTAGACCACGTTCTATCATCCATTTGTGTGTCAGTGTGACGATTTACACACCTGGCCCAGTGTCGGATCCTTGGTTGCGGCGCCAACGGTGACGTCGCTCCTCCTGGTCGTTCCTCCTGGGTCCAAGCGTGCTTGCTCCAACCCTTTGGTCAGATGATCACCAGCCTCGCCTTTCCCGACTCCTTCCAAATGGCCATAAAGCAACTTCTCGATCTCCGGTCTGTCTACCCACGCTGTGTTTAGATCTTAGACAGACGGGGACCAGCAGGGATCGGGGCCGATAGTTGAGTCCGACGGGGGTGGCAAAACACAAATAAAATAAAAACTCACGACACCAAACAAAATTGCTGATAAAAGGGTAACAACCTTTTATATCTTAAAGTCCGTTACATAAAAAACAAAATTGTTTCAATTCCCGACCCGCTCTGTGGACTATGGCACCAAGCTTCTATCACACAACAGAAAAATGTCGAATTACCTACTTTCTAGAATCATTGTATGTCGGAGTGTGGTTCAGTTCGACACTGGGGCTAATTTTATCGATCATTCGCAGTTGATTCTTCTCTCTCCGACTTGAGTTGTATTTCTTCTTCTTCTTCTACTTGGGCTGGAAGTTCTTCTTGTCTGAGGTTCTTTTCGCTGCCGTCCGGGGATGAACTTTAACTGCAACTCCACTCCAACTGATTTCTGCCGACTGGGGTCCTTATATTGACGCCGCAACAAACCGGGGTGGGTCGGTCGGCGTCAGGGGTTTCTCGATAATTTCAAAAGCCGTATTAATTTTGACTTTCCATTATCGTTTGTTTTCACCCCTACTTTCTCACAGTGCTCTTGGGTGGGCGGCATATCTATTTCTATTTTAGTCTCTCTCATGTCAGGTGATCGCTCTCAACCAATCGTTCCCGATCGAACCTTTCTTTCTCTTCTTTTCCGCAGCCCACGTGACCGCCTCGTCCAACAGTTAGTGATCGAGGTTTTCTTTTCCTTCTTCTTCCGCGGTCGTGATTGTATTCGACCAATTGTTATTGACCGAACACCCTCTCCCTTTTGTTGGCGGGTGTGGTTACCTCGTGCTGGTTTTTAAAAAAACAAAATCCGATTTCGCACCTTTTGCACGTACGCAAAAATGACAATCTTTAGCTTTTTTTCACCTGGACTTTGTCAAACAGCCCGCTGCTAATTAGTCTTGACTTTAGAAAAGGTTCTTTTCCGCCTTCTTGGCGCCCTCTGTGGTCCAAAAACAATTGCTCTTCTTTTTACTTCTTTTGTTTTACCTGATAGTCGAAAATCTTAATTATCTAGGTTATCTCTACTTTCTTAACGTGGGTGTCCAATTCTTAACAGGTCAATTCCGTATATCGTTTTCACCAGTCACTTATCTCTGATAAAGTAAAATTCATTTCTATCATTCTAATTTAAAAGTTAAATTTTCGTTATTTTGATAAGAATACGAAATGTCGGTCAGGCCTCGACCGATATCTATTCTATTCTTTCAACAAAAATTAAGGTCAAAAGGCTCTGACCGACATATCCACACCCAGCGGCCTGTTTTTGATATCATGTTTTTTCCTTTCTTTCCCCTTTTGTTATTATCTTTCCTTTCTTCCTTTTTCCTTTCTTTTCTTTTTCCTTGCTTTAGGATCGTTTAGTACATTCTTAGTGAATTATTTTCAACCAGTTATTTTCCGTTTTAAAGAAAAAAATTAACAACCTGTTTAATAAACTGAATAAGAAAAATTAACTCATATTTCTATGAATATTTCCAATAAATGCAAGGTGCCATAATCCTCCCTAACCGATTTGTCATTTACCCGTAAATGACACCTAAACCCAATTACATCATTTAACATGCACCATGCATTTGTCTCATGCAATTCTATTCTACTTTCTAACATGCAAAGGGTAATGTTCTTTCCATTTTCTTTTGTTCTACATGCAATGAAATGTTCTTTTCAACATGCAATGAAATGTTCTTTTTCATTTTCTTTTTAAATGCAATGAAATGTTCTTTTCATAATGCAATGAAATGTTCTTTTTCATTTTCTTCTGTTCTACATGCAATGAAATGTTCTTTTCATTTTCTTTTTGTTCTACATGCAATGTAATGTTCTTTTCAATGCAATGAAATGTTCTTTTCATTTTCTTTTGTTCTACATGCAATGAAATGTTCTTTTCATTTTCTTTTGATCTACATGCAATGAAATGTTCTTTTCATTTTCTTTTGTTCTACATGCAATGAAATGTGTGCGTGTGTCTGTAGGTGCAGATGTGTTCTTTAGGTTTGTTCTTCTTGGTCAATGTTTTCCTCTCTGCTGTGGGAGGTTTTTCCGCCGCACGTGGTGGTCTCGCCAGCCTCCTCCATTGGTCTTCCAGCAAAATAAGTTCTGTCTGAGGAGGAACACCGCTCGGCATCTCGAGTTGTTGCATTTAGACTGTCGTTAATCTTCTCCTATCTTAATCTTCCATATTATTACACCCCGATGGCTACAACTAAGAATGTACCCATTACTATTGACCAACTTATCGCGATGCTCATCGTCTTCCAAGCTACACCTTCGTCTCTTAAACGCACTTTAACTTATCCCTAAGTGATCCATATCGATCTTTTCTATCTGGCTTCATTAATACTGGCATCTTATTTAAGGTGACATTAGAGAATCTCTTCACTATCGGCCCCATAAAATACAATATCTACCAATCATCTCTACGAGTGAATCTTTTTTTCTTCATACCTTTCTTCCATCTGGTAATAGGGGGCAAGGAGATGGACACCCCCAACCGCCGAACATCCATGGGTAGCGACACCGGGGATAAAAAATCTCCCCACATACCCTAGACAGGCTGATATGTTTCTGTGTGGCTACCGCACACCCCCGTCTGAAAACACTGATAGCTTGTGGTAATGCCGAGTTTGTTAATACCTCACTTGGCAGATTCTTTGATTCCTTCTCCCCTTTTCAAAACAATTCTAATATGCACATTCTGCGGTTACCAGTTTTATAGATAGGGCTCAAACAAGTCCCCAGGGTATAATAGCTTCTTCATGCATAAATTTCGTTCTCCTGAATTTAATGCTATGTAGTCTGCTTTTAATTTATTTCCCTAGCTATCATTTGAAAGGTAACAAATTCTCCTGTTGTTATTCTTCACAACCACTTATATACTTTTCTCTTAGTTCGGCTCCTCCTCTAACTAACCTTAGCAGACAGAATCAGGTGTGCGTGGCGCCCACTCTAAAGGTCGTACCATGGACACCACTGGTGGCCAATCAATAATGCCAATGATCTTCCGTTCCTCGTGAGGTGCAGGCATCTCCATCCCCTCCACTCACATCTACCATAGTCAGCC